CACAGTATTCCACTCTCCATGTGCCCTGGGAACCAGAGGGAAGTGCAGCAAAGCTCCCGTCAGAGCTCCCTGCTGGAAAATCCCGTCCCAGAGGCATTTTGGAATGCCCAGGAACAAGAAGCAGCACAGGCAGCTGCAGGGCATGTTTTCCTGCAGTCCTTGGTGCCTCAGGCCCAGCATGCAGGGACACACTCAGAGGCTTCAGGGATGTTCTGATCCAATCCATTGGATTTGGCTCCTGACTCCCAGTGTGAGTTAGTCACGAGCTGGCTGGGTGAACACCCACCTGCTCTGCCTTTGGGCTCCAAACTTCTATCACAGCTTCATCACCAGTTGCTCCTCATATCCCAGGCTGTGTCCAGGATCCACTCCCTTGGGAGAGCTGGTTCCTCCAGGCACAGACAAAGGCACTGCTGCACCCGCCCTCAACCCTGGGAGAGCAGGGCACGACTGATCGTGAAATCTGGAATGGTGTGGGTTGGAAAGGACCTCAAAGTTCATCTTGTTCCACCCTCTGCCATGGGCAGGGACACCTTCCACTATCCCAGGTTGCTCCAAGCCCCATCCAAACTGGACTTGGACACTTCCAGGGATGGGGAAGCTACAGTTTCCCTGGGCAGCCTGTGCCAGGGCCTCACCGCCCTCACAGGGAAGAATTTCCTCCCAGTATCCCATCAAAACCCCCTCTCTATCAGTGTGAAGCCATTCCCCCTTCTCTTTCCTCTCCAGGCCCTTGTAAATAGTCTCTCTTCACCTTCCTTGTGGGCTCCCTTCAGGTACTGAACACCGACCTGCTGATCAGGTTCACACCACGATCCCTTCAAAGGAAAACTCATGGAGATTCCTTCAGCCAGGCAAAGTCCTCAATCACGTCCCGAAGGTCAAAAGTGATTAAACACAGGTGCAAACCCCAGAGAATTTGGACAACGACCACTCTTGTTCCCCTTCAGTGTCTGTCACTGCACTTTGAGACCTGGGGAAGCCTGAAATTTTAATTACCAGCCCTAAACTCCACTTTTCTTGCCAGGACCCCTCTGGAACAGCCCAGCTGTGTCCTCGGTTGCTGCTGCAGAGCTCACTTGGGTCTCACTCTGGGTCTGACTCCAGGGGCTTTTTTTGGACATTCAACTGACATTGCCTCTGGCAGAAGAAAAGAAAATCTGTGAGGAAAGGAAGAGGGAGTAAACTTACCCTCTCTCTTTCCTAATCACAGGATTCATCACCAACAAAAGGCAGGAGAAAAAAGTTTGGACTGAGAAGTACGAAAATAACCCTCACAGGGAAAGACAGAGACCAAAGGGGCGTTTTCTAACAAAAGGATTTGATAAATGAAAGCAGCTCCCAGATGTGCCAAACCCACAGCACCCAGACATTGCCTTGCACCTGGGGTACTAAAAGTGGCATTTTTAAGAGCCAAGCTCAGCACACTGAAGGCTTGAATCCTCCTTTTGGTACTTTCAAAAACTATTCTGTCTCAAGATCAGATGTTCCAGACACATCATCTCTGAACACCTTCTGACAGACAGTATGGGTGAGGGTGGCAGAGCTGGCTGAGATCATGCACAAGGAGACCCTGGAGAGGGTTGTCCAGAGAAGCTGTGGCTGCACCATCCCTGGAAGGGTCCAAGACCAGGCTGGAGGAGGCTTGGAGCAACCTAGGATAGTGGAAGGTGGCCCTGCCCATGGCAGGGGGTGGAACGAGATGGGCTTTAAGGTCCCTTCCAACCCAAACCATTCTGGGATTTTATGAAAAAAAAAAACACCAAATAAACCCCAAACCTCCCTGCCCAGTCTGAGCTCTCCATGGCAGATACTTGGAGTTAAATTTGCCCACTTTGTCCTTGATTTACCCCCTGCTCTACTGGTCTCTGACCAGCCCAAGGAAGGGAGTCGAGAGAGGAAAATGCTGCTACCACCAAAGAGGAGCTCGAGGCACCACAGACGAGGAATTTCAGCTCAGAAATTGGGCAAGAAGAAGGAAAAGGGACAATAAATAACGGGACAATAAATCCAATAAAAAGAATTCAATAAAATCAGTGTGAAATCCTATTTGCCCTAGTCCCAAATGCCCAATCCTGGGTTTTCAAGCAGAACTGCTGGTGAAGCATCACAGCAAGGGTTGCAGCAGCAGCCAAGAGCTGCCCCTCACTGCTCCAGCTGCCTGAGGGCACACAACACACTCCAGACACCCTGGGGCATCAGAACAGAAAAAAACAGGTCTGAAACATGTCTGTGTTTTGGGGTTTTGGAATTATTTGACATCAAAACCTTTTCTGATGACAGAATATCAGAAATTGAGAGCTGGTAAAATAATAGAACCAAAATGAGCCTCATTTTTATAACACGGGAGTGGAAAAATCCTGATCCTGTCTATGTTATAAGATATCTATATTATTTAAGTGCTGCAAACTGGTGGTTTAACACACCAAGTGCAGGGCTCTGAAATTTTAAAACACACCTCCAGCCCCACAAAAGGCTTTTAAAAGTGTAACTTTTGTATTAATAAAATAATTTCATCCCAAGTGGGGCAGTTACACTGAGACAAACTTTCAAGCAGTTGACAGACTGAGCAGGAAACCAATTTCCACCCTCCTTTTGAAGTGGTATGAAAGGAGGGATGGAAAACAGCTGCCATGGGGAGATCACAAGGAAACGCTCTTTGCTGTGTGGCAATATTGCCACAGAGTTCTTTGTCTTGGGATGTTACTGCCCCTCTGAAAATCAGGAAGGATAAACCCAGGAAAAGCCAAAAGCTGAATTGTGGGAGGTCAATACAAAGAGAAAATTTCTGTGAAATCGAAGAACTTTCCACACTTGAGCAAAAAATGTGGTCTTGCTCCTCTTGTAGGTTTATGGATTCTGTAAACACAAACCAGCAGTGGGACAGGAACCAGTAAAACCAGTTACTCCTCAGGGGAACACGACCCCACGGCCCCTGGAACAGCAGCCCCAGACAAACCAGCTGGGAGAGGATTTCACCCCAAAACCACCTGTCAGCTGGGGATGGATCTACCCAGCTGGGGGTGGGGAGAGCCCTCTTTGTCCAAAAAAAAAAACTGGAATGGGAACACAGGACACAAGGCCACGTGGAGGAGCAGTAAAGGTGTGGAAGTGTGGTTCTGAACAGGAAAAAGATGGAAAAAGAAGAAAAAAAAGAAAAAGAAGAAAAGAGACAATCTCATGATGTATCCCTGCTAAAAGCACTGGGTCACCTGGCATGATTGAAAGGAAAATGGAGCAAGGTGCAAAATGCAGGTGCAGCCTGAGGAAGGGCACAGGAAAAGGAGCTTGTACATTCTTAAGGACTTAGCAGAGAGCTTGAACTTCCCTAAGGAGATTAATAAAATCCATGTGAGACTTCAGGCAGAATCCCAGTTGTAAAACAGGAACAAGGTGTAAACCAGCAGCCTCTGTAGATCCCAAGGATCCCACTCTGATCCAGCTTGCTTCCTGTAGAGTGTTGTGTACTCAGACTTTGTTTTCAGGTGTTCTTATTCAAGAATTGCTTTTGATCTGGCCATCTTTCACCCTGCCTGGAGCTGCCAGGTGGTTTAGCAGGAAACTAAATCCCATGGAATTGCCTGTACTGCAAGGCCCTGCTTGTACCTCCCCAGAGCTGAAACTAAAATCAACTTCACAGGAAGTAAAATAACACAAGAGCAGAGGGTGAATGTTTCTGTGCACAAGACAGAAATCTCTTATTGGCTCCAGATACAATACAATTCATGGATTTACACCTGAGGAACCAGAGCAGAAAGTGGTTCCACCTGAACAAAAGGCCAAAAGAACAGCACAGAGGGAGGGAAGGTGGCTCTGAAGATGCAAATTAAGATTATGTGTGCAAACAAAGCACAGTTGTAAAGGTCTTTATGTTAACGAACTAACAGAGATTTATGGTGACTTATCCTCCTAAGAGACAAAAAACAGTTCAGCAGAGCAGGCTGGGCAGTTGTGGAGGGAGGTGTATTTTGTGATAAGCCCCAAACAATGTCCCTGTTGAGTGTCAGCACCGAGCTGGAAGAAAATAAAACCTCTGACAAAGCAAGAAATTCTGCAAAGACAGCACTGGCTCCCAGGGCTGAGACAGGACACAAGCACACACAGACACACACACTGTGCAGAGACAGGATTCCCTGGAGATCTGATCCCCATTTAGCAAAAAAGGATTGTACTGTTCCCTAAGAAACATTTATTTCCACAAAACTAGCACACACACACACAAAAAAAAAAGCTTATCTGTGAGGATTAACTAATCAGATGGGCTTGGAACAAAATACATCTCTGGGTTTGCGAGGATTTTATGTGTGTGGGAAGCAAACAAGTGACACCACCAGAAAATGTGCTTTATCTTCTCATTTTTATCCTCTTTTCCAGGTGCTGGCTGACAGGCATGTGCCAGTGCCAGTTGAGAGCTCCAATATCTCTGTTCCTCATGTGGTCCCTGCAGCCCTGCCCGACCCAGGTGGCCCTGGGTGACCCACGGGCTCCACCAAGTTATTCCATACCCAGAGCAGGATGAAGGGAAACATGCAGGGGCAGTTTGTGGAAGGATTAAAATGACCAGGAGTGGTTTACACATGATCTCTACACACAGATAACTGTCTGTTAGCAAAAAGCCATGACCAGCCCGAATCAGAAAGATTTCTGAGTGCAACAGCACCAAAATTTTCATTCTCTGGAGACTTTCCTGCAATCCCAAAAGGAGGGGCCACAGTGACTGTGAAAGTGGGAAAGAGCTTGAGTCGTGCTGGGTTCCATTAGTATGAAATCAAGCCTAAACTGTGGCAGAAACACAAAGTCTCCCAAATAAAGTGCAAAACCTCAGCAAAGGTCAGCAAAGCACGAGCTGGAAAAGGCCCCCCGAGCGCAGCAGAGAACAAGCAAGGTTTGTGAAGCCCTTTCTGCCAGCCCTGAAACGCTCAGGGTGGGACTCCTGGGCTTTCTCCCTAATTCTGCTGTGAGTCCACAGCACTCCCCCAAGGAAAAGGAGCAGCACTCACCCTTTGCCAGCTGCACAAAGCCGAGGATGATGATGAGGGCCAGCGCCAGCAGCTTCGCCGCAGCAAAGGCGTCCTGGACACGGGTGGCAGCTTTGACACTGTAGCAGTTCACGGCTGTGAGCAGCACTGGGGACACACAGGGACACACATCAGCACCAGGGAAACACTTCATGGGCAAGACAAATTATGACAAATGTTTAGATTGGATATAGAGAAGGAATTCTTGGCTCTGAGGGGGGTGAGGCCCTGGCACAGGTTGCCCAGAGAGGCTGTGGCTGCCCCATCCCTGGAAGTGTTCCAGGCCAGGTTGGAGCAACCTGGTCTAGTGGAAGGGGTCTCTGCCCATGGCATGGGTTACAAGGAGATGATCTGTAAGGTCCCTTCCAAGCCAAACCATCCTGTGATTCTATGATTTGCTTTTCGCTAAAACTTAACCCATCAGAAAGTCTCTTCCTAAAAAAGAAACTAGACAAGAGCCAGGCTCTGCAGCCTCACACTTTACAATTCCACACCTGTTTTTCTCAATAGGTGATTTGAATAATCTGCATAGTCCTTGTGACAAGGAACAGCCCTGAATTGAAAAATACACTTCTGAGGGCATATACATAAAAGGACTTGTCAGGTTCAAAGTGCCCGGCCCCAATGCCTGTTCAGTCCATCCAATTTAATGTTGCTTTTGTGTGAAAACAATGTAGAAATGTCAGGACAAGCTTCCAGGACTGATTTATACTTATTTTATACCAATAGCACCAAAAAACAATCAAGGCCAGACCATGCTGCCCCAGCCTGGACATGAAGGAGGAGCTGTCCCCATCCTGACCCTCTGGGATACAACACAAACAACACCTGCAGGTCAGTGGGGCAGGTGGGAAGAGAAGCTGGATCTGTGGAAATCCTCATCCTGTGCCTGACCTGCTTGACCAGCAGTGCCAGGGATGGCTGTGCAGGGTTCAGAGATGCTCCCCAGGGCCAAACACAGAGGGGATGCTGGAGAGGATTGCCCAGGATTGTGCTCATTCCCATCAGCATTCTGCTTGCCAAGGAGCTCCCATTTCCTACAAGTTGCCCTGTGGTTTATAGAACCAATCAAGCCTGATTTCCAACCTTTTTTTTTTCCTTATTTCCCCCCAGCTCTGTATCCTGCTCCTGGCACTGTGACCCTCCTGCCAGGCACGGCACAGCCTGAGCCAGGGCTTGTCCAAAGCCACAAAGCTGCTCCTGGCTGAGAGAAAATAATGGCTAAAACCTGCTGCTCTTCCAAATCCCTTACTATTTTGGTGCCCTGCTCCCTGCCCAGAGCCTGTTGCTTGTTTATAGAGATGGGCAAATGTCACCCCAAGGGTGACAGTGCCCGAGTTGACAGATGCCCTCCCCTCCTGCTGCCTCCCTTGTGCACAGTCACCCCTCGCTGTCCCCTCACCAGCTTGGCAGCAGCCCCTGGCCCAGCTGGTCCCCAGCAGCTCAGGGAGGAGCAGAACTCAACTCTTCTTTGGGAGCTGGAGGCTTTTCCCTGCGGGATCTTTTTCCTGCTGGCCTCTGCCCTCGGGAAAAGGCTCTTTTCCCACACCCTGCAGCTCATTTTCCCAGGACCCCACTGCCTTGAACAGACCAAACAGCTGCACCCCAAAACATCCAGATCCCCCTCTCCTGAAGTCATGGGCTGGATCTGCACTCACAGTTTAAAGCCCAGAGTATCAGATCACAGAATCACAGAGTGGCTGGGGCTTCTGTGGAGCCTCCTGCCCTGCAGGTGTGGAGAGAGGATCGATTTGGATAGTAGGAGAATCCACCCTAAACTGGATTATTCATAGAATCCCAGACTGGTCTGGGTCGAAAAGGGCCTTAAAGCTCATCTCATTCCACCCCCTGCCAGGACGGGGACACCTTCCACTATCCCAGGTTGCTCCAAGCCCCGTCCAACCTGGCCTTGGACACTTCCAGGGATGGGGCAGCCACAGCTTCTCTATGCCAGTGTCCCAGAACATGATGGATTTCAGGATCATTGGCTCCTTGCAACCCCCCACTATTCCATACAAGATCATTCAGTACAAGAGCCATTTCAACATAAGAGCATTCAAAGTCTGGGGAAATGAAAGAGCTGGATGTCTTCACAAAGCAAACCCCATGATCCACTACGTCCTACAAGTGAGAAGTAAACAAGGAATTTGAGACTGACTTTGTTTTGTACCGTGCCCTTCAAGCCCCCTGGGGAGTGTGGGTGAGACTGAAAGGTCCCAGACCTGGTTCTGGGGAGGGACAAACCAGGCTCTAGCTGAGCTGCTCTGGCTCATGGCCAAGGGCAGGAGGAGGATCTGTGCCCATCCCTGCCCCAGGGTCCCTCCACCCCACACTGCTCCAGGAAGATATGGAGCAACTACAAAGTCATCCCATGCCCAGGTTTGGAGGCTTTTCAGCACCCAGAGCAGCCCAACACTATCTGTGGGCTGCAGGGTCACAGCTCTGTCACCTCCACAGAGATTGGGACACATCTGCCTCCAGCAGGAGCTTAAAGGGATGTTGTCAGATAACAAGGAAGGAGAAAATAAAGGTTAGGCAGGTCAACTTATGTCTGTGCCATGGAGGGAGAGAAGAAAACACAGCACAGCTCACAATTCTCCTACTAAATGCACGTCCAGTGAATCCTAACGGGGAGGGAGCCGAGGATCCAGGATTGCCTTTGACCAGCGATTATGCTAAAAATAAATCTTCCCTTGTTTACAGAGGGATATTTAAAGGATGAGCTCAGGCAGCTAAAAGCTTCTCCCGTGGGTGAGGACAGCCCTGAGAGGTGTGACAGTGACATTCCCTTCCCATTTAGGCATTCTGTGTCCAGGACAATGGATGCTTTGGCCTCCACTGAGATACTGATTTTTGGGGCTGTTTTTCATGTTTTGGTTTTGAACAGACTCCCCTAGACAGATTGTGGTGAAAATAAAAGGCAAAAGCTTCCTGTACAGTCCAAGTGTCTGAACCCAGCCCTAAAATCCCATCGGTGCCAGATAAACAGGCTCCCTAAAAATAAGAAAACACTTGGGGTTAGAGACTGAAGAAGGCTGAGAACTTCTGCCACTGCCCTGAGCCAGAGCCCTGCAAAGCCCCTCTGCTTTGCTTTTCCCACTAGGCAATAATAATAATAATATTTGTCTTTCCTAAAGGAGCGTGGGGGAGTTACTCCACTCAAACGCTTTCAACATAGGAAAGGCTGGAAAAAACCCTCAGCCTCTCCCATCAGGAAGAATCCTACAGAAAAACAAACAAACAAAAAAACAACAAAAAAACAACCAGGATAAGAAGTTTTTCAGTAAAAACTCCAGGACGAATTCCAGTGGCTGCTCAGCTTCTGAGGAGAGCAAGAGGGCTGGGATGTCTAAAAGCAGCAAGTTTGATTCCTTTGATCTGAGATGCTGCCCAGCCACGCAGGGGCTCCTCCTGGCACTGCTCCCTCACCTCAGATGAACTGCTCCCAGGAAAAACATGGGAAAGCTGCACAGCAACGGCTTTACTCTAAATCAGGGCAGTGATACAGCACAGGCAGAGATCAGCCTGCACTGCCCTAATTCCTGCAGCATCTTCCCTAAGGCTCCAGCCACCAGCCCCTGGCAGACACCAGCCAGGGAGACCTTTGGAGTGACCCACCCGGGCCAGGAATCATTCTAGGAATAAGGATTTCAGCATGACCTGACATGACACAGCTTGGCTGATCCAGCAGCCCCTCTCCAAAGGCTTTACATAATTGGGATAATAAGAGCTAGAAAGCTGCAGGGATGGCAGATGTAGCAGGAGGATGAATCTCAGGATGGTTTGGGTTTGGAGGGACCTTAAAGATCCAGTCCTACCCCATGCCATGAGCAAGGACACCTTCCATTATCCCAGGTTGCTCCAAGCCCCGTCCAACCTGGCCTTGGACACTTCCAGGGATGGTGCAGCCACAGCTTCTCTGGGCAACCTGTGCCAGGGCCTCCCCACCCTCATTGTAACAAATTCCTTCCTTACGTCCCATCTAAATCTCATTCCTTATTTACAGATCACTCTGGCACAAGCAGGACAGATCCTGTTGTTTCACTGCTGCAGAACGTGCTCACCAGGTGCTCTTCACCTGCTCCATCCTTCATCCCTTATCTTCATTCCAAGGTAACTTAAGCCACGGGGGAAGCCAGAAGCTTTCAAAGATAAATTTGGCTTTTTAAAGACATCAGCAGGTCTGGCTTCGATATTTACTCTGCCTAGCAGTCCCTGCTGCCTTCAGGCACGTCACTGAACCTGCTCCACTGGCCCTCACCTGCACAGCCAGGTAATTCCCAGGACTGATAGGAACAAGGACAAACTGACTAATCCAACAGGCCCAGGACTTTACCCCCCCCACCTCAAGTCACATTTTATAGCTGTATTCCTTTGAATGGGCATTCCAAGATCCCTCCCAAAAACACAATTCCTAGATGACAACAGGAGTAAATGCCTACAGAGCAGACACAGCAAGGGATTGGGACAATCCTATCTAGGACAAGTCCACGGCAGACACACTGAATGGAAAAACAGCTCCCGTGGGGCTCTGCCCAAAGCAAACAGCGGGAATGGAGCCCTGAGACAGGTAAAGCCGGGCCTGGCATTTATGATGCAACAGTCTTGGCAATATTCCTATAGGAAAAGGCAGGGCTGCAGCTTTTCCTGGATAATGGAGTGTGGACATGGACTGGGCACAGAGTAAAGACAATGCTCAGGGAGGCTTTGTTGGGGAAAAATAAATCAAGCAAACAAGCAGCTGAGCCACAACTCTGCATCACCCTCACTCACAGGGAAAAGGATCCAATTCCATGCCCTGGTGGGGCAACAGGAGCTCAGCACGAGATCTTCAGCAGCTTTTCAGCTGAAAAGGCTCAGGAATGAGTGTAGGAATCGCTGAGGTACCAGAATTTGTGCTGCCTGTGGGGTTACACCCCTTGGGAGCCCTGCACATGTCACCTGGGTCCTTCATTTCACCTCCCACAGGTTTCCCTGCTCCTGACCTGGAGTACTGCCGAGTATTTCCAAGTACACCTCTGTAACATGGATAAATGTGTGGAAGGAGCTGCTTTAAAGGTGTAAACTCATTAATTTGCTGCAAGTTGTCCATGGATTCCTGTGCGTGG